CGTCTGGCGTCGTCCGAAGACACATTGGTTTTCGCACTCTAACTTAAGTTTAAGTCAATGGATCTCCATGAAATTTTACCATAAGGTTCAATACCACAAAAGGAAGGTTGGGATTGATTTTGGGCGTTATGGTACCAACAGTTAAGGAATTAGGGGCCAAAAATAAGCATTTTTGTAACTTTCAGACAATAACTTGTGTGTAAGTGTATGGATCTCTCTGACATTGTACCACAAGGTTCCATATCACAAAGGGAAGGCTGTAATTGATTTTGGGAGTAATTGCCTCAAAATTTTAGGAATTAGGGGCCAAAAAAGGGGCAAAAAACAAGCATTTTTCTAGTTTCATGACAATAACTTGTGTGTAAGTGTTTGGATATTTCTGAAATTGTACTACAAGGTTTCATATCACAAAGGGAAAGCTGGAATTGAGTTCGGGGGTAATTGCCTGAAACGTTTAGGAATTGGGGGCCAAAAAGGGGCCAAAAATAAGCATTTTTCTAGTTTCAAGACAATAACTTGTGTTCAAGTGTATGGATCTCTCTGAAATTGTACTGCAAGGTACCATACCACAAAGGGAAGGCTGGGATTGAGTTTGGGGGTGATGAATCATAAGGGGGTTCAAAAAATTGGGGGGGGGGGGGGGTTTCTTTTTTTTTCTTTTTTTTCTTTTTTTTTCTTTTAAAATTTTCCATTTTAAGTTGGTTATTTCTGATTTATATTTAAAAGTAAATAAAAATGATATGGTAGGAGATACACACCAAACAGGATGTGTAAATTTTTATATAATAAGTATTGTGCAATAGCAAGAAATTTTCAATTGCACAGTATTGCACAATAGCAAGAAATCTTCAATTGCACAGTATTGCGCAATAGCAAGAAATCTTCAATTGCACAGTATTGCGCAATAGCAAGAAATATCCAATAGCACAATATTGTGCAATAGCAAGAAATTGTCAATTGTATAGTATTGCGCAATAGCAAGAAATATTCAATTGCACAGTATTGTGCAAAAGAAGATACTTCTTATAAATTGCTTATTTCTTGATCAATTTCAATGGGGTTTTATTCTTGAATTCTTGGGGTTCTTTAATATGCTGAATATAACCGTGTATTAAGTTTTTGGATTTTGGGCCCTGTTTTTAAATTGGTCCACATTGAGGTCATAAGGGTCCAAAATTTAACTTTGTTTGATTTCATCAAAAATTGAATTATTGGGGTTCTTTGATATGCCGAATCTAACCGTGTATTTAGATTCTTAATTTTTGGTTCTGTTTTCAAATTGGTCTACATTAAGGTCCAAAGGGTCCAAAATTAAACTTAGTTTGATTTTAACAAAAATTGAATTTTTAGTGTTCTTTGATATGCTGAATCTAAACATGTATTTAGATTTTTGTCAAGCCTGCGACTTTTGTCGCAGAAAGCTCGACATAGGGATAGTGATCCGGCGGCGGCGGCGGCGTTAGCTAACTTCTTAAAAGCTTTATATTTTAGAAGGTGGAAGAGCTGGATGCTTCATACTTTGTATATGGATGCCTCATGTTACGAAGTTTCAGTCAGTCACATGTCCAATGTCCTTGACCTCATTTTCATGGTTCAGTGACTACTTGAAAAAAAAGTTAAGATTTTTTGTAATGTTAAATTCTCTCTTATTATAAGTAATAGGATAACTATATTTGGTATGTGCGTACCTAACAAGGTCCTGATGACCGTCATACAGTTTTCATTTGACCTCGACCTCATTTGATCAGTGAACAAGGTTAAGTTTTCGTGGTCAAGTCCATATCTCATATACTATAAGCAATAGGTCTCATATATTCGGTGTATGGAAGGACTGTAAGGTGTACATGTCCAACTGGCAAGTGTCATCTGACCTTGACCTCATTTTCATGGTTCAGTTATTAGTTAAGTTTTTGTGTTTTGGTCTGTTTTTCTTATACTGTATGCAATAGGTCTACTATATTTGGTGTATGGAATGATTGTAAGGTGTACATGTCTAGCTGGCAGGTGTCATCTGACCTTGACCTCATTTTCATGGTTCAGTGGTTATAGTTAAGTTTTTGTGTTTTGGTCTGTTTTTCCTGTATTGTATGCAATAGGTCTACTATATTTGGTGTATGGAATGATTGTAAGGTGTACATGTCTAGCTGGCAGGTGTCATCTGACCTTGACCTCATTTTCATGGTTCAGTGGTCAAAGTTAAAGTTTTTGTGTTTTGGTCTGTTTTTCTAATACTACATGTATATGCAATAGTTCAGCTATATTTGGTGTATGAAAATATTTTATGATCTAAATGTCAGTCACGCAGGTTTTATGTGACCTTGACCTCATTTTCAAGGTTCATTGCTTAGTGTTAAGTTTTTGTGTTTTGGTCTGTTTTCTTAAACTATAAGCAATAGGTCAGCTAAATTTGTAGTATGGAAGAATTGTTAGCTGTATATGCCTGCCTAGCATGGTTCATCTGACCTTGACCCCAATTTCATGGTTCATTGGTCAATGTTTAGTTTACTTGGTTAATGTTAAGTTTATGTGACAGTTGTAATAAAGCTTTATATTTAGGACTATCAACATAATATCAATGATTAGTAAAGAAGGCGAGACATTTCAGCGTGTGCACTCTTGTTGATTATGGGCCCAGTTTTCAAGTTGGTCCAAATCAGGGTCCAAAATTAAACTTTGTTTGATTTCAACAAAAATTGAATATATGGGGTTCTTTGATATGCTGAATCTAACCATGTATTTAGATTTTTGGGCCCCGTTATCAACTTTGTCCACATTGAGGTCAAAAGGGTCCAAAATTAAACTTTGTTTGATTTCATCAAAAATTGAATTCTTGGGGTTCTTTGATATGCTGAATCTAACCATGTATTTAGATTTTGGATATTGGACCATAATAGGTGAATGTCCAATTTAAAATTTTTAAGTTCTTAGACCACATTCATTCTGTGTCAGAAACCTATGCTGTGTCAAATATTTAATCACAATCCAAATTCAGAGCTGTATCAAGCTTGAATGTTGTGTCCATACTTGCCCCAACTGTTCAGGGTTTCGACCTCTGCGGTCGTATCAAGCTGCGCCCTGCGGAGCATTTTATTCACAATTTGTTCATATAGCTTGCTTACGTCCCTCCGTCGTCAACATGTCGGATATTAACTCAAAAAAGCTTTAACCAATATGCATGAAACTTTGATGAATTGTTTATATCTATTGACGTGAGCTCCCTTTCGTTTTTTATAAATTTCAGATTTACCGTTTCCGAGTTTTGGGGTTTTATTCATTAAAAAAGGGGGGGTTTTCCAGTTTTCCGACAATAACTCAAGAATGCTTTCACCAACTTGCAAGAAATTTTGGTGAATTGTTTATATGTATCTATTGACATGAGCTCCCTTTAGGATTTTTATAAATTTTAGATTAAACGTTTCCGAGTTACTGGGTTTTATTCATAAAAAAAGGGGGATTTTCCAGTTTTCGGACAATAACTAAAAAATGCTTTCAGCAGTTCTCATGAAACTTTGGTGAATTGTTTATATCTGTTGATGTAAGCTCCCTTTAGAATTTTATAAATTTTAGATTCAACATTTCTGAGTTATGGGGTTTTATTCTTTAAAAATGGGGGGATTTTCCAGTTTTTGGACAATAACTCAAAAATGCTTTCAGCAGTTCTCATGAAACTTTGGTGAATTAATCATAGCTATTGATTTAATCTCCCTATTGATTTTCATAAATTTCAAATATGACATTGAGAAGAAATTGAACTTTATTTGTTTATAGTCTGACAACAGATTTACTAAGTATTGCGCAACAGCACTGTGTATTGCACAACAGCAAGAAATCTTTATATAAATTCAATTCATATAACCAATTTCAAGATCTTTGACTACATTTATTCAGAAACCTATAATATGTCAAATATTTAATTACAATCCAAATTCAGACCTGTATCAAGCTTGAATATTGTGTCCATTTTTGCCCCAACTGGTCAGGGTTGGACCTCTGCGGGCGTATCCAGCTGCGCTCAGCGAAGCAGTTTATTTGCTTTTGAAGAAAAATGACAGATACAAAGAACATTTAAAAGGCATTTTTAAGCCACTCATTAATATATATTGAAAAGCAAAAATAATCATTGATGAAAGATTTAAGCAAAAAATTACATGTGAGAGATTCAGGCTCTTGAGAGCCTCTTGTTTTGGGCTAAATTATGTTGATGCTGTTTCTCTCTGTAAATTAAACATGAATTACTGTCAATAATTGGAACTTTTAAAACATTTGAAAGTATAAATACTACTTACATGTATAATCAAAATGACAAAAAAAGAAAACATGGTTTTGCACACTAATAAATTGTAATAATCATAATGGCTCAAATTACTTCAATAGTACAAAGATAAATTTTTAATAAGTATGTTAAATCACTATTTTGTTTTCGCAATGAAAATTATCAAATGCCTTCATAGGTCATCAGTTGAAAAAGGTTGAAATCATCCCTGCACAATTTTATGTAAGATAACTACCACTGTGGTCTGGAGGTAGCATCCTCGCCTTGAGTACTAAAGTTGGTAGGTTCGATCCCACTCAATCAAACCAAAGACTTTGGGAACTTGATGTTTGCTGCTTTTCGATAAGTAAACAGGGTAAAGGAGTAAGAGCAAAGTCATAGTATGAATAATTTGTGTGAACTGTTACTGACTGAACTGAAGCGTTCAAAAATCTGTCTCAGACTGTCAGTCTAGTACAAAAGAGGGTTAAAATTCATTTCTTACTAACATGTTTTCATCCTGAATATGCATTTAATTTGCCAAAGAATGTTAAACAGCCATCCATCATCATAATTCTGTTGAATAGATATGGACATGTTTCTTTTTTTCCTTTTGAAGATTATTTTAAATGAGCAAGTGTAACTCAATTCTAAATATTACATTGTACATAAAATTGAATCATTTTGCAATTTTATTCAATATATACATCTATGTTATGTATGACTGCAATATGAATTATCATTTCAGAGAGTGTTTTGAAGATAAAAAGATACAGGCATACAGATACGTCCATTGAAATGTCTATCTGAAAACAGGTACAAATTAGAGATCCAAAATAATAGTAACTTGTAAATGGATAAATATTTTAAGATACATTACTGTACATGCTGCAAGGATGTGTTTTTTTTTTATGCCCCTGCGTAAGCGGAGGGGGCATTAAGTTTTACCCTTTTCCGTCTGTACAACCATCCATACGTCCGTCAGTACGTCCCAAAATTGGTTTCCGTTCTCTAACTTTTGTTTGTCTCAACCAAATGTTATGAAACTTATACACAATGCTTATTACTACAAAACACAGATCAAGTTTGAATTTTGGTGGCGTCACTTTAACTGTTCTAGAGTTATGCCCCTTTATAAATGGAAAAGTTGCAAAATTTTTCATTTCCGTTCTCTAGTTTGCCTCAACCAAATGTTATGAAACTTATACACAATGCTTATTACCACAATACACAGATCAAGTTTGAATTTTGGTGGTGTCACTTTTACTGTTATAGAGTTATGCCCCTTTACAAATGGAAATAAAATTTTCATTTTTTTTTTCTAAAAATATTAATGATGTCATTGTTCAAGTAATATTTAAAATTGGAGTTATCTTCCTTTGTCCATGATTATAGTTGAATCAACTACAATCAATGCTTTATACAATGCAATGTTTAATTTTGCCTTCCACTGATAAAACAGATCAAGTTGAATTTGGGTAGTGTCACTTTAACCATTATTGAGTTTTGCCCCTTTATAAATCGAAAAATGCAAAATTTTTAGTTTCCTTTCTGTAACTTAAGTTTGCCCCAACCAAACATGAAACCTATACACAATACTTATTACCACAAAACTAAGATCAAGTACAAATTTGGGTAGCGTCACTTTTATTGTTCTTGAGTGGGCATCATCTGTGTCCATGGGGACACATTCTCCATTTATTCTTCATAATTGAATTTAAATTTTATTTTTTAATCTTAATTTTCGTCCGCATTTGCTGAAAAGTAATAAAATGATGCAATTAATCTTCTCTCTTGATCAAGTACTCCTGTCGAGTGTGTCAATCTACCTGTACAAGTGATTAGCAATCATAAGCCGGATATTCCTCAGGGCTTTAAAACAGTAATCAGGAAAAGGGGATATGCAATTGATTATAATTGCTAACAAAAATGGCGATGGCTAGCAAAATGAAAACAAATTTTGACAACTCTTTTCAATCATAGTGCAGTAATTTAAAAATGGTGGGTACAATGGCGAAGATAATTTAACGATGGCGTTGCACCTTCCTAAAACAGGGCATGGAGATCCTAGCATATCATAAGAATGCTTGAGCGTGGCGATTAGTGTTCTCAGACACATTCCTCTTTTATTTCCTAAACTATTGAAGTCAAGGATTTAACCACTATAGAGTCGTACAAAGTAGCATCTGTTGTTGTTGAGATTTATGGTTGGTTTTGCATTGTCAACAAAAATCTTGGACACTGTCACACATCAAATTTTTAATAAATGGTGGCAGATAATCAGCATACGTACAATTGCCTGTAATTGCTTATATCCACTTCATTTGAACTTTGATGGATAGTTGTCTCATTAGGGCCCCGCCGAATGGTGGACGCCCTATAGTGATCCGTCTGTCCGTCCGTAACAAATTGTGTCCGCTCTATATCTAGAGAACCGTTATGATTTCAAAGTTTATACTTGACATGTATATTAACCAACACCAGAGGGTGTGTCATAATGTATGAACAACTTCCTAGGTCAAAAACTTTGGTTTTAGTTGACAACCCCATGTCCTATGGTAAAGATTGTGTCCGCTCTACATCTTGAGAACCGTTATGATTTCAAAGTTTATGCTTGACATGTATATAAACCAACACCAGAGGGTGTGTCATAATGTATGTACAACTTCCTAGTTCAAAGGTCAAGGTCATAAACTTCGGTTTCAGTTGACAATCCCATGTAAAATGATAAAGATACAATTTTTTTACCACACATTATTCACAGCGGGGCCCACAGAGATGGCTCCCATCTCAATGATATCTAGTTGGCAATCATACCACATCTCCTTATTTTTAGTCCCCTACCGACGGAGTCAAAGGGGACTTTAGGTTTGCATTCCATCCATCTGTCTGTCTGTCTGTCCATTCGTCAGTCAGGCAAAACAGTTTTCCACACTTTTTATGGCCCCGCCGTAGCGGAGGGGGCATTAAGTTTTACCCTTGTCCGTACGTCCCGAAATTGGTTTCCGTTCTCTAACTTTAGTTTGCCTCAACTAAAGGTTATGAAACTCATACACAATGATTATTACCACAAAACACAGATCAAGTTTGAAGTTGGGTGGCGTCACTTCTACCTTTCAAGAGTTGTGCCCCTTTGCAAATGGAAAAATTGCTGAATTTTTAGGCAGTTAAGCTGCCTTATGCTAGCACCCTAGATTTGTGTTCTTCCTAACGAATGCTGAAAAAAGTGCCATTGTTGTAATCTAGCAGGCTAATATGTTATTTATAACTAATTGGACATTTTTTTCATTCTTTTAATTCTGGAATACAAAAAATATGACCAGAATAACCTTAAATGATCGTCGAACGACGCATAATATTTGAAGTTGCACATAGGAAATAGTGCTCAATAGAAATCCGTACGTAGTTTATTATCCCCTGTGCTTTTGGCTAAGATGGCAAAGAACAATTGTATGAAATATTTCATCGCCGAAAATCTGTAATTACAAGTCGTTTATATTTCCCAAATGGCAAAATGCGTAGGAATATTGTTCATGTACACCAAATCTCTATGATAGAGGGAATAAAGTTATATATAGTACACATGTAGTCTAAGTTGGCGGTAATTTTAACTTACACGAAACGTAAGTTCGTTTGATTCTGATGATATAAAGTCCGATTAAGCGAAAGAACTCTTAATCATGATATTCTTTTAGTTTAAGAAGATTGTGATTATTTAATTGATTTCAATTAAATGTATGCACATTTAAATTCCTTTCTTTTATTAAATTATTCCGTTTATCACTGAACTTGTTGTTATTTTATGAATGAAAAACCGGAAATCGACGTTATCAATGTCGACCAATCAGGTCGATGTTTTAAGAAATGCGGAATAACTCGTCCCAGAGACAAGTCGGACCGTCTAAGAAAACAACTCGGACCCCTTGTCAGGTTAACTTAGGGTTTCATAAAATGTAAGACTAACATGTCTAGCGGAGCCATCAATCTTTCGTTTGTGCATTGGGAACTATTTAGGGGTATTTTGAGGGGCCTAAAGAAGGGAGGGGTTTACTGTAGAACCCTATGGGATTTTATTTTCAAATGACTATTTATACTCGAAAACAGTAAGTGATAGACACGCGTGGTCTTCAGTAATGAGAACAGGACAATGAAACAAATCAAATAAAATATAGGGTGTGTCCCTGGGGGTCATCCCACCCCCCTTCAATTTGAAAATGTTCTTTTATCTTGTAAACGGTCGCGATCCCCACCCCTAAACCATATATATACTTGTATGGGACAATAAAACAAATCAAATGAAAATTTGGGGGAATCTTTGGCGTCACCCCACCCCCTTCTGTTTCAGAACTTGTAAACGGTCGATATCCCCCCCCTTAACCATATATATTCATGTATGGGACAATATAACAAATTAAATGAAATATAGGGGGAGTCCCTGGAGTCACCCCACCCCCTCCTGTTTGAGAACTTGGAAACGGTCGAGATCCCCACCCCTAAACCATATATATTAATATATGGGACAATATAACAAATCAAATGAAATATAGGGGGAGTCCCTGGGGTCACCCCACCCCCTCTTGTTTGAGAACTTGGAAACGGTCGAGATCCCCACCCCTAAACCATATAAATTAATGTATGGGACAATATAACAAATCAAATGAAATATAGGGGGAGTCCCTGGGGTCACCCCACCCCCTATTGTTTGAGAACTTGTAAGCGGTTGAAATCCCCACTCCTAAACCATATATATTCATGTATGGGACAATATAACAAATCAAATGAAATATAGGGGGAGTCCCTGGGGTCAACCCACCCCCTCCTGTTTGAGAACTTGTAAACGGTCCCCACTCCTAAACCATATTTATTCCTGTTTGTCATTTCAAAATAATTTGAATGATATACAGGGTCAATCTCCTAGGCGTCACATTATGTGACATATGCATATCACTTTACTAGACCAAACCAATGTGTACTGGACTTTGCCCAATGTCAGGCGACCATGGGAATGACGAATTATGGGAGCTTTGTTTGGGAGACTTCGTAACAGCATCCTGTTACAATTATTTCTTGTTTATTATAAAATTTTATTGATGCAAAAAATGAGTCTAGGTAAATTGAATTTTAACTATTTTTTGAATTATTTCTGGGCCTATAAAAATTTTCATTTATGGCTCATTTTAAAGAAAACATATAAATTTTTCAAGCAGTGTAAAGCCCAAGAATGTTTGACCAATTGTTTTATTTGACCGGAGAACCTGAGATCACCCCCAGTTTTTGGTGGGGTTGGTGTTGCTTAGTCTTCAGTTTTCTATGTTGTGTCATCTGTACTATTATTTGTCTGTTTGTCTTTTTATTTTTGGCCATGGCGTTGTCAGTTTGTTTTCGATCTATGAGTTTGACTGTCCCTCTGGTATCTTTCGTCCCTCTTTTATAATCACCTGTCATTTTATTCCAAACTTGGTATGGAGTGATATCACGGACTTGGGGTGAAGGTGGGGGTCATTTACATTTACTATGGTCAGGGCAGTCAGACCTCACCTTTGATCCCTGTAGTAGTAAACATTTGTCTGATTTGTGTCTCATAACTTTTGTGCTGTAGAACCCAAACTCAGTGTTCCTTCCAGGGAAGCAAGTCCATTCATACAATTACGCCAACTTGTACCACTAAAAGTCAACTGGTACCAACGTTAACTACCAACTAGAACACCTGCAATCATTGCGAACTTGTACCACTGCAGACTCACCATTAAAAATATACATTGATATATGCGTTGCTTTAGAAAACCTTGATAAAATATTAATAAATTTGCCTTAATAATCAATTCATTAAATAAACATAAATGTACAATATACGAATGTTTAATGTTTGTTCTTTCAAATCTGAAAAAAAAATTTGAAGCAACACTGCCACAGTTTTCATAATTACGTTTGCCTTGGTTTTTGGTTAACTGCCTGCAGCGCTTACAGTGCTTTGATTCATTTCCGTTCTCTAACTTAAGTTTGCCTCAACCAAATGTTAAGAAACTTATACACAATGCTTATAACCACAAAACACAGATCAGGTTTGAATTTTGGTGGCGTCACTTATACAGTTCTAGAGTTATGCCCCTTTACAAATGGAAAAATTGCTGAATTTTTCGTTTCCTTTCTCTTACTTAAGTTAGCCTCAACCAAATGTTATGAAACTTATACACAATGCTTATTACCACAAAACACAGATCAAGTATGCATATTGAGGGTGTCACTTTAACCATTCTAGAGTTATGCCCCTTTACAAATGGAAAAATTGCTGAATTTTCTGTTTCCGTTCTCCAACTTAAGTTAGCCTCAACCAAATGTTATGAAACTTATACACAATGCTTATTACCACAAAATACAGATCAAGTTTGAACTTTGGGGATGTCACTTTTATTGTTCTAGAGTTATTCCCCATTACAAATAGAAAAATTGCTGAATTTTCCGTTTCCGTTCTTTAACTTAAGTTTGCCTCAACCAAATGTTATGAAACTTATACACAGTACTTATTACCTCAAAACTCAGATCAAGTACAAATTTTGGTAGCTTCACTTTTACCGTTCTTCAGTTATGTCCCTTTATAACTTTATATGATATGCAAGTGGGGGCATCATCTGTGTCCCATGGACACATTCCCCATTTATTTTTCACAATTTGGTCACTTTTAATTATGAAATAAGTAAAGAGTTACAACAACTGATATTTTGGTGGAAAGTTTTTGAGGAAATCCCCATTAAACATTAGGGTCAGTTTTGAAACCCATAACACATACATTTTTTTGGTCTTCATTACTTTTTATGCCCCCGCCGTACCGGAGGGGGCATTAAGTTTTACCCTTGTCCGTCTGTACGTACGTACGTACGTACGTCCGTCTGTACGTCCCGAAATTGGTTTCCGTTCTCTAACTTGAGTTTGCCTCAACCAAATGTTATGAAACTTATACACAATGCTTATTACCACAAAACACAGATCAAGTTTGAATTTTGGTGGCGTCACTTTAACCGATCTAGAGTTATGCCCCTTTATAAAAGGAAATATTGCAAAATTTTTAGTTTCCGTTCTCTAACTTAAGTTTGCCTCAACCAAATGTTATGAAACTTATACACAATGCTTATTACCACAAAACACAGATCAAGTTTGAATTTTGGTGGTGTCACTTTAACCGATCTAGAGTTATTCCCCTTTATAAAAGGAAAAATTGCAAAATTTTTATTTTCTTCTAAATATCAAGTTTATATAATATATTTTTAAAATTGGAGTTATCTTCCTTTGACCATGATTATAGTTGAATCAACTACAATCAATGCTTTATACAATGCAATGTTTAATTTTGACTACCACTGATAAAACACAGATCAAGTTGAATTTGGGTAGTGTCACTTTAACCATTATTGAGTTATGCCCCTTTATAAATAGAAAGATTGCAAAATTTTTTAGTTTCCATTCTGTAACTGAAGTTTTCCCCAGCCAAACATTGTGAAACCTATACACAATATTCATTCCAACAAAACTCGGTAAAGATCAAGTACATTTTTTTTGTTTCAGTTCTCTAACTTGAGTTTGCCTCAACCAAATGTTATGAAACTTATACACAATGCTAATTACTACATAATACAGATTAAGTACGAAATTAGGTGGCAACACTTTTACCATTCTAGAGTTATGTCCCATTATAAACATAAAAATTGCTGAATTTTTTAGTTTGTCTCAACCAAATGTTGTAAAACTTATACACAACCGTTCTAGAGTTATGCGTCATTACAAATAGAAAAATTGCTGAATTTTTAGTTTCTGTTCTCTACTTAAGTTAGCCTCAACCAAATGTTATGAGACTTACACACAATGCTTATTACCACAAAACTCAGATCAAGTTCAAATTTGGGTAGTGTCACTTTTACCGTTCTTCAGTTATGTCCCTTTATAACTATATGATATGCAAGCGGGGGCATCATCTGTGTCCACATGCGGACACTATCCACATTTATTAATTTTATTTTTAATTTATAAAGCTGCATTAATTTTGTTTAAATATATGGATAAATTTATAAGAGCTCAACAATAATAATATATATATGAAGTTTGTATGCTTAAAGAAAAGAACAACAACTATCTGAAAAGTTACATCAGAACAAAGAATTTTATATTTCGGACCATACCATTTGTATTGTAAGGTGATTAGATCAACACCTTACGAAAGTTTAAAGTTTAATATTTTTTCATTCTTTTCTAGCAATTTGAATTTTGATAGAAAAAAAACAGGTACAATACACAGTTTTTAACTTTAAAAGTATTTTATGTTTCATCACATTTTCACATGACACAAGAATAAAATATGGTCAGAAAATTTGAAATGCAATGTATATGGGTGGTATTCAAAATATTGTACAAAAATGTACTCCATTTAATATATAAGTAAGGAGTTGTTGTATGATTTACAATGAGACAACTGTCGGCCAGACCAAAAGACAAATTTATTAAACAACAAAGACGTTAGAGTTAAAATGTGACTAGAATGGTCAAAGGTATTTAAAATGTTGCTTTTAAAAGAACTTGCATTAAAAGTTGTATGAAATAAGAAAGGAGCAATCATTACAGTTTTCAACCAGTACCTCAAAATCACAATTCATTATTGTAATCTTATTTTCAGGTTAGCTGTGAAAGTGACAATATGACAGACTTCAATAGCTCTTTCTTGGCCCACCTTAAGAAATCAGAGCAGGAAAGAAACAAAGAATTCATGAAAATCCGTGCATTTAAGAATAAACCATATACTTATGCTGTTGAAAAACTCTTAAGAAAGTATAAACGAAAGATCTGGAGAAACAAACCTCATCGGAAGAAAGTGCACAAAACAGTTAAAGGTGACGTTCTGAAGATCAAAAGTAGAAGCCGATACTCATGGCCAACTTTGAATGATAGAAAGAGTGGTTTAAGTAAGAGTCATTCATTTGATTCAGCAGTCTTGCCAGATCTGGGTGAGTGTAAAGACTTTCCTATGTCAGAGATTGGAACTCGTAATAATGGAAACAGCCCATTTAATAGTAGTACCAGTTGCAGTTCACCTCCAGATTCACAGCTATTCTCAAAGGTTGAAACAAGTGGAAAAAATGACAAAATTCAATGTCAGAAATGTAGACTTGGAAACTCTGAACAAAACAATAACACAAATGTTAGATGTACATGTGTTCTAAGAAGTGTACAAGTTAGCTGTGACATTGAAATGAAAACTGAAGGAGAAACAAGTGAAGACGGCACTGATTCAGAAAATGAAGATGTTTCTGAGAAAAATTCATTGTCAAAAGTTCATGAAGCTGTTAAATCTAGGACTGTTGAAAACAATGACAGTGATAAATGTATGAATTCAGAAGGTTATACTAGTGAAAACTGTTCAGAAAATGATACTGCCGGTGAAACGTACATTGATGTGGAAAGTTTGGATGATAGTAGTGAGATAAAATCAACTGAAATCACAAATTCAGTTTCAAATAAAGTAACAGAAGTATTTGAAAATGGAATTGTGGATGAAAAAGTGCAATATGTTGGGTCCAATGTCAAACATTCTCAGCCATCAACACAAATCGCCCAAGTCAAATGGCAGCAACAATTCATGTCATTCATATCATCAGCAACAACACCTAGTGAAGGAGATAATGAGCAGGACTCAAAATCACAATCTCCACGAAGAAAACGATCTCGGAAAGTAAGACAGAGTATGTGTCCTTGCTGTATGGGATCTGGACATCATAGAAGAAAATCAGAAGACTTAGTGAGATATCGTAAACCACATTCCATGATGAGAGATCATAGGCGATTTATTCGTGATATGACTCAGCTCATCTCGTTACGAAACAAAGTGATGGAAGTGTGTAGGCTTTTGTTCCCACAATGTGTTCATGAAATATTTAATTACGCCAGTCCAGATAGTGAAGATGTGGACAAGTGTATTGATCAAATGATTTCTATTCTTCATAATGCACACCAGCAATTTTTACACAATTTGAACAGTAAATCTGAGGTCAGCAGGAGTGGTAAAAGTAAGAAAAAGTTCAAATCTGAAAGAAAAGGGAATCTCAAATATGATCAGATCAATTCAAATGAATATGTTGTATCAATTTGTGATCCTTCCAAACCAATATTGGACCCTGAAAAACAAGGTCCACAAGACTCAATGAACAATCCATCCTCTGATGATGAAGCGCCACCTATATTACTTTGTTCTCAATCAGACCAATTGAATAAATCTGCTGAACCTGAATTATTGTCAAAGTTGTGCCTCCCAGGTAGTAATGAAGGTATTGTTTATGCTATTCCTGTAGAGAACGGGATAGTTTATCCTCATCAGACTCAAGTCCTTTTGACTGGAGATATATCAGAAAATGAAGGTTATGTCAATGAGGATTTATTTCAGAACCGAAATAAAAACAAAAATAAAGATGATATTGAAAAAGGCGAAAATCATGAGAGAATTTTGTCTGAGGCTGATTCTGGTATTGTGAATGACCATGACGTTAGTTCTCCTGAAGATGTGGGAAAAAGTAGCATACTTTACCAGAAGAAAAATATAATATCGAAAGACATAATTTCGAAATCAAAAACTAGTCCAAATAGTGCTAAAACTGAACAAACTGCTAATATATTTGATTTATTTTCTAAGTATGAATCAACTCCTTCTAAAGCGGAAGAAAAGTCAGAAATGCAATACAATGTGTTGAATTCTAGTCATGAAGATAAAAAAAGTGAGCACAAAACTAATGCTAAATCAAGCGACCGCAATATATTTGAAAGCTTATTTGGTATGAATATAGAATCATCAGTTCCACCAACACATTGTGAACAAAAAGATGGCTCTTTTGATGAGATATGTGACCAAGAAATTCAAAGTTTTTATTTCCCTTTAAATAACTCTGACAATTTTGGCAGCAACTCTCCGACTCAAGAAGACAAACCAAAAGAAACTTATGTTGAAGTCTATGATCCTGCCATCGTTTTGTGTAAGAAACCAAAGATTTGTTTACGAGCATTTAAAGAGAAAATTTGTCTTCTATTAAGATGGCTCTTACCAGAAATAACATTTGAAAGGAATTTTTTCAAGAATACAGACAATCTCGAGTATGTCCTTGATGCAGTAATTCTTAGTAATAAGAAAGATTCATTGACTTTATGATATTTTTTACTGAATATATATTAACAATGATGTTATATGATCAGCTATTTTTATATACATATTTTGTATGCTTCAATTGTTTACATTATTGAAAATTCAGGTATTGAAATAGTAGACTATATGATCTGTTTCTGTAATTGTTTAGGGCTGTTCGTCAATTGATTTTATGGGGAGGGGGATTAAAAGGCACTCCTATTAAAATTTGATGGATGGTTATTTTTTTTAAGAAAGATAGTCTGGAGAATTATAGGAATTGATCAATTAAATTGGGGGGGGGGGGGGGGGGGGGGGGACCAAAAGTGATTCCCCTCTAAACATTTAATTCTGGAACAGCCCTTTAGTTTATCTAACTCAAAATTCTCAGTACTGTACATTTGGTACCTAGCTTTTCATTGTTAGGTTCATTAAAGAAAAGTGTTGAAATTTTCCCAATAATACTACATACTGACCTACGTAAGCTAAAAATGACTCAGGATTAAATTTATTATCTATGATTTTACTTATGTCTATGCCGAGAAAAAGACTATTCATATCAGGTCAGTTATTCACCAATATTTTTGTTTATCATATAGTCATGATAGTGCAGATCTAGACATGTTGGATCAATCCAAACGTATGTTCAGTGATACTACATTTAAAGCTTTTAATCTCAAATAAAGATCATGAATAAATTTAATAGAGACCATTTTTTGCATATATTATTGCAATATTACCTTTTACTGGCTTTATTCTAAAATTACAACTACTAAGTCTGCATTTAGTATTAACCATAGAGTACAGATCTAGAATTCTTCAACAAAGTAAAAGCAATATATTAAATGTGCACTTACATATAAGTCTTTATATTTAAGATATTTAATGAAAAATAGAAGAAAATTTCAGAAATACAAATGAAAAAGAAGCATTTAAAAATATATATTTGTAAAAAAAAATGAAAGTTGAAAAAGGAATTTTTCAGAATCTGCTTTTTAATATAATTTTGGGCATCTCACATTTGCATTTTATTTTCCAAATAAATGAACACACTTATTGCAGGAATGATTAAGTGTTTGAACTCCTGGTTGCATGTTGTAATTGTTATCTTAAAGTTGAAAATTTGAATGCAGTTTTTACTTTATTTTTGAATAACTATGTTACATGTACAAAGGGTTATTGATTGTTGATTTACATGAATTGTTATGTAATTATTTTGTAAATAGTGCTGTACATAGTTCTGACGGTTTATACCATGGACTTTCTAAGTAAAACATGTGATAATTCACTGTTGTTGTGGGTTGGTAATTCTTGTTTTTGTTTTTTTGTTTTTTTTTTATTTAGATTTCCTTAAAACGACCATACAAATTTGATTTCTAGTTATTCATATACACTTATCCAAATTTTTCTTGTACAATTTTATAATTTTTTATTTTAATTTTAGTTTTAAGTTAATTAGTGTTAAAAATACAGCTCTAATTTCTCATAAACTGAAGTTTTTACGTCTAAACAATTGAAACATTCTAAAAGTAGAAATGGAAAGCTATCATTCCTTTAAAAATTTATGTTTAAATTATTTGAAATAAGAGTTAAAGAATTGACTTTGATTCCTTTGTGGTTTGTTTTCACAATCATCCTTTATCTAAAACTCTTATGAAATTGATTATCGACCAGTTGATTTAGCATCAGATTTGTTATATTGCTGCAATAGGAAAAAAGGAAAACAACATTGACAAGAGTTACGATTTGAAAAAAACTATTTTAAACTGTTATTATGTTTTGTACATTGTACTGTATAGAATTAGTCCTAATGAATTTACCATACATTTGTACATTTGTACATTTTATTTTTGGTAGATTTTCTCAGTATTTTTTGTATTAGACAATAAGCTGAATCCAGTGATTGTTATTTAATGAGTATTATGTACATTTACTTGAAATTATACTTTTAATAAAAAAAAAACTCAGTTTATAAGAATGTGATGAGCATGCAAATTAATTTATTGTTTCTTGTAGAAAATAAGAGCCTTGAATTGATTGCAAGACATTGTATATTCATTAAGTATTGCAATATTATACATACAATGACATATGAAAAGGTTGTCATTCATAATAAAAAAAAAAAAATTAAATTAAATAAAGTTAAAACACTTTGAAATAATGAGAAATAGAGAGAATAATGACAGATGTAGCTCCAATGAAGCCTTCATAAGGTGAAGCAAAAATAATTATGTTTATCAGCTGGGTACAAATTATGACAAATAAAATGTATAGGTACATTGTAATGCCCAAAACTCTTTGAAATAATGGTTGAATATTTTCTTAAAGTGTACAGCTCTAAAAGGCAGGTTGGTGATTAGTAAAATAACGTATTGCTATATTTCATTGGTGAGAACAAACACAACAATGGGATTACAGACTATTTATAATTATTTATTATGAGAATTAGTTTCATTTAGTGTTACATTATCTGCTATATAAATTTGATATTTATACATCTACTTTCAGGGGCTATTATTCAGGGGAAAATGTTGAGTAAACTAGGTTGTATTGATGTTCATGTTGCTGTATAAAAAGGGGGGTTTTCCTAGTATTGACAAATTCAATAAGTATACTGTCTGAAAAGATTGTTAATTAAGAATTTGGTTACTAAGGTATTTGTTAGAATACCAGTTTTTCTTAATTCACTTTTAAGTTTATGTTCAGTCTTAGAATAAAAGATTTAATAAGTTTCCAAAAGAGCATTAGTTTTTTATCAGGCAGTCTTGGTTATTAATAGTTTCACATAGAATTTCAGGTTATCTACCCTTAATCTACTCTTGTTTTTGAAGATGTACATTGTATTTGAGTTGAAAGCATTACTTTATATGAATATTAAAGAGGATTGAAACAGTGATTATGATGTTAACAAGAAAAATATGTTGTTAAAGGTATGTTGTGAACAAAACTTATGTACTAAAGACTCACAATTTTGTAACAAAATTTAGTGTGTAGAAAATCAAAGAATTTGATCTTCCTTGCTGGCCAGATGAAGGGATGTGAACTAAGGCAAACAAATAAACTCATGGATGTAATCATTAAGTTTTCTTTTACTATCATTAACTCAAAAACAGTACTGTCAATACACATTTGAATGATAGCATTTATTATTATAGATCTTTGACAATTAATTAATTATAATTAAAGAATAATAATGTTACCTATAAACATGTAACAATCTGATTGAGATACAGATTCAATGTCCACACTTCACTTGCAAGGATATTGACAATGCTCTGTAAGACTTTTTTTGGATCCCCTAGTCTTGTTGTAATGATGCACACCCTCAAAAGACAGACATTTCATTGGTTGATGTAATAGCTATCATAGAAGAATGAAGAAAAGGGCCTTGATAATCCTTGTAACCAAAGGGTGGACACAAGGTCTGTATTTCGATCAGATTGCAGATTTCATAGCAGAATAATTTAAGTTAATCAAGAGTTTTGAATTCATGAGTAGGCCCAATGAAGTTTAACAGTTGTCCTAAGGTAGTGTCCATTGGTCAATCATCATTTTCAATGTCTTACGATAACTCAAAATTTGCTATTACAGTTTTTATACGACCGCAAACAAATTTTGGGATCGTATATTGCTATCACTTCAGCGTCGTTGTCGTCCTAAGACATTTGGTTTCCGGACAATAACTTTAGTTTTTTAAGTGTATGGATCTCTATGAAATTTAACCAAAAGCTTCAATACCACAAAAGGAAGGTTGGGATTGTTTTTGGGGGTGATGGTCCCAACCGTTAAGGAATTAGGGGCCAAAAAGGGGCCCAAAACAAGCATTTTTCTAGTTTCAGGACAATAACTTGTGTATAAGTATTTGGATTGCTCTGAAATTGTACCATAAGGTTGAATACCACAAGTAGAAGGCTGGGATTCATTTTGGGGGTAATAGCCCAAACCGTTCAGGAATTAGGGGCCAAAAAGGGTCTAAAACAAGCATTTTTCTAGTTTTCAGACAATAACTTGTGTTTTAAGTGTATTAATGTCTCTTAAATTGTACCACATTTTACAAAAAGAAAATTTCTTCAAATGTTATTTTATTTTTGGAAGGGGGGGGGGGGGTTAAAAAAAAAATTTTTGGGGGGGTCAATTTTTTTCCACAAGATTTATATTATTTTTTGGGGAAAGGGGGGGGGGGGGGTCAATTTTTTTTCCTCAAGATTTAAGAAATTGTCAATTTTCCACAGAAAAATTTGGGGTCACAATTTATTTTGCTTATTCTTTGTATATAGTCTGAAAACAGATTTACTAAGTATTGCGCAACAGCACAGTGTATTGCACAAAAGCAAGAAATCTTCAATTGAATATAAATTCAAATCAAATAACCAATTTCAAGTTCTTTGACTACATAGATCCTGTGTCAGAACCTATAATGTGTCGAATATTTAATTACAATCCAAATTCACACCTGTATCAACCTTGAATATTGTGTCCATTTTTGCCCCAACTGTTCAGGGTTGGACCTCTGCGGTCGTATCCAGCTGCCCTCGGCGAAGCAGTTTATTTTAATAATTTTTATGTGAGAAGAGCAGAAAAGAAGCTCCCATTTAGTTTTGAACATATATTGATTTGTTTCTGCACATACTTTGATGCCAAGAAAAGGTTAGAAACTTTTCTAAGTTGTACAATAACTCACATTTGCTGTTTTGATTTTCATAATTTTTATACACAATGTTTGGATTTGGAAATTGAAACTCTTTCTGAAAGTGAAAGTTTTTCCCTTATCCGTAAGTCCCAAAATTGGTTTCCGTTCTATAACTTTAGTTTGCCTCAACCAAATGTTATGAAACTTATACACTATGTTTATTACCACATAACACAGATCAAGTTTGAATTTTGGTGGCGTCACTTTTACCGTTCTAGAGTTATGCCCCTTTTTGAATGGAAAAATTGCTGAATTTTTTCGTTTCCGTTCTCTAACTTTAGTCTGCCTCAACCAAATGTTATGAAACTATACACAAGGCTGAATACCACAAAACACAGATCAAGTTTGAATTTTGGTGGTGTCACTTTTACTGTTCTAGAGTTATGCCCCTTTACAAATGGAAAAATTGCTGAAATATTCGTTTCTGTTCTCTAACTTTAGTTTGCCTCAGCCAAATGTTATGAAACTTATGCACAATGCAAATTATCACAAAACATAGATCAAGTTCGAATTTTGGTGGCGTCACTTTTACCGTTCTAGAGTTGTGCCCCTTTACAAATGGAAAAATTGCTGAATTTTTCGTTTCTGTTCTCTTAAGTTTGCCTCAACTAAATGTTGTGAAACGTATACACAATGCTTATTATCAAAAAAATCAGATCAAGTACAACTTTGGGTAGCATCACTTTTACAGTTCTTGAGTTTTGTCCCTTTATAACATAATATGCAAAGGGGGGCATCATCTGTGTCCCATGGACACATTTCCCATTTATTTCTATCGGTTGTATCTATTCATTTCTTCCTTGCTCCCAGTTGAGTTGTTGTTTCTCTAAACTTTTATCTTTTTAAAGTTCTTTAGTGTTCATCTTAATTTACATTACAAATGTGGATATAGTACTTGTAAGTACTTTAGGAAACTTTTGTTTTTTCCCAAATATATTTCCTGTTTGGACCTTTATGACATGTAATTCTTCTACGGTAGTTATTTAAATGTTATTTGGTTCAAAATTTTTACATAAATAAAAACAATCACTTTAATTTCATTTTTAACTATAGTAACAGAAAATCATGATTACAAACAGCAAGCAACTTTAGATAACTTTACTTACTACACACTAAAATTATCAAGTTGTAATGAGTTGACAAGTTCAGTAAGATTACTCGTAATTATCATGTCTATATTTATGTAAATCTGAATTAAATTTTTTTAACAATATTATGTACATACCTACCATCTGTATAGTATCATTATTTAATTGTTGATAGAGATTTTGTATTTATTATTTCATCATTCACTGCTTCAAACCAAAAATAAAAAATTGTTTTCATGCTGTTGTTTTTCTGGTTATTTCTCACTTGATTTTGTTGTATCGTAAATTTCAGTATAAGTTGCTTGAGATTCGATCAATATTAGTTTTTGTCGAGCCTGCGACTTTTGTCGCAGAAAGCTCGACATAGGGATAGTGATCCGGCGGCGGTTTTAGCTAACTTCTTAAAAGCTTTATATTTTAGAAGGTGGAAGATCTGGATGCTTCATACTTTGTATATGGATGCCTCATGTTACGAAGTTTCCGTCAGTCACATGTCCAATGTCCTTGACCTCATTTTCATGGTTCAGTGACTACTTGAAAAAAAAGTTAAGATTTTTTGTAATGTTAAATTCTCGCTTATTATAAGTAATCGGATAACTATATTTGGTATGTGCGTACCTTGCAAGGTCCTCATGCCCGTCAGACAGTTTTCACTTGACCTAGACCTCATTTCATGGATCAGTGAACAAGGTTAAGTTTTGGTGGTCAAGTCCATATCTCAGATACTATAAGCAATAGGTCTAGTATATTCGGTGTATGGAAGGACTGTAGGGTGTACATGTCCAACTGGCAGGTGTCATCTAACCTTGACCTCATTTTCATGGTTCAGTGGTTATAGTTAAGTTTTTGTGTTTTGGTCTCTTTTTCTTATACTGTATGCAATAGGTCTACTATATTTGGTGTATGTAATGATTGTAAGGTGAACATGTCTAGCTGGCAGGTGTCATCTGACCTTGACCTCATTTTCATGGTTCAGTGGTTAAAGTTAAGTTTTTTGAGTTTTGGTCTTTTTTCTAATACTATATGCAATAGTTCAACTATATTTGGTGTATGGAAATATTTTATGATCTATATGTAAGTCATGCAGGTTTTATTTGACCCTTGACCTCATTTTCAAGGGTTCATTGCTCAGTGTTAAGTTTTTATACGACCGCAAAAAAATTTTTGTGGTCGTATATTGGTATGACGTTGGCGTCGTCGTCGTCCGGCGTCGTCCTGCGTCGTCCGAAGACACATTGGTTTTCGCACTCTTACTTTAGTTTAAGTGAATGGATCTTTATGAAATTTTACCACAAGGTTCAATACCACAAAAGGAAGGTTGGGATTGATTTTGGGGGTTATGGTAATAACAGTAAAGGAATTAGGGGCCAAAAAGGGGCCAAAAATAAGC